AAATCACACACCCTCATTGGTCGAAATCACTCAGGAGTTCCAAAGATCATCAGGCATTAGTGTTAGCACCAGGACTGTTCATCAAGAGTTAAAAAACCTGGGATTCCATGGTTGTGCAGCCACTCACAAGCCAAACATCACTCTCCAGAATGTGAAGCATTGATTGCAATGGTGCATAGCTCACCGTCATTGGACTGTGGACATGTGGAAAAGTGTTCTTTGGAGTGATAAATCTCGCTTTACAATCTGGTAGTACAATGGAGGCATCTGGGTTTGGTGGATTCCCAGCAAGTGCTTCTTATATGACTGCATTGTATCGACTGTAAAGTTTGGTGGTGGCAGCATCGTGTTGTGGGGGTGTTTTTCATGGTTTGGCCTGGGTCCCTTAGTTCCTGTGGTTGGAAACATGAACTCTAAGATGTATGTGGACATTCTGGACAATGCTGCTCTCACAACTCTATGGCAATATTTTGGGGAAGGCCCATTTCTCTTCCAGCAGGATAACTGCTCCATTCACACATCAAGAGTTGCGCAGGCATGGTTTGACGAAATGGGTGTTCAAAAACTGGACCGGCCTTCTCAGATCCCCAATCTAAATCCCATAGAACACCTTTGGTACAAATTAGGACGCAGATTACGTAGCCTGCCACTTCGACTATCCTCACTGCAAGCACTCGCTTCAGCTGTGATGGATGCCTGAAAGTCAATTCCGATGGCCACCTATCAAAAACTAGTGGAAAGTCTCCCCAGACATGTGCAGGCTGTCATCGATGCAAAAGGAGGACCAACATCATATTAATATATGCCTCAGGACTCTCCGAGTCCATACCACTGGGTGTCCAGATACTTTTGGCCAGATAGTGCTATCTTTATAAAGCAGTTGTTCAATTATTAATGAACCTGATGAGAAAGTTTGTGAAAAATGACAGGATTACCGACAAACAGTTTCTAAAAATAGATTTAAATGCTAATGAAAACTTGGTACCTCTGAAGAATTTGGATATTGGTTTTGGAGCAAAAAAGGTTTTAAACGAATTGAAAGTAAGCGACAAAGATATTCTGTGTTTTTTAAGAAATTGTCAAAATGTGCTGAAAGTGATGACACAAAAGATTATTGAGAAGGGACCTGTCACGTATAAATGTGTGAAGGCTTTGAGCAGCTTACACCCAGAATTTATTAAAATGCAATCAAATATTGGAAAATTGTATTTCAATGTTTTACTGGAGGTTCTACATGATACAAACAGGATTGATGAGAAATGTGTTGTCAAAGCAAAAGAACAGTATGATATACTCTGCAATAAAGTGTCCATAAAATCCTATTCTACAAAGTTTGAGGACTTCATATGTGAAAGGAGTGATGATGGTCTGGACACATTTTATTATGAAATTATGAAGGATGATAGGCAACTGCAAGATTATGGTATTTTGCAGGTGGTATTGATCAAATAAATATAGACCAGAAAATGTTGTTAACAGTCAGAGGATCTAGACAGCGATATATGGCATCTCTGCACCAGAAAAAAAAATATTCAGAAGCAGCAAGCATTGAGGGCTGAAGAAAAAAGAAAACTTACACAACAACTTAAGGATTTAAGTGGCCTGAGCATTAAATTGGACCAGAAAAGCAACACCGCCGCACATTTTTTGGACTTGGACCTTCGAATTAAGAATAATGTAATCACATACAAGGTCTATTACAAAAAGTCCTATATACCACTCTTCATCCCAGCTAACTCGGAGGACCCTTACTCATACAAGATTGCGGCTTTTCGGGCATTAACTAAGAGGGCTTTCACGCATCACTCTAGCTATGAAGGCACCATGGCTGAGCTAAGGCGAGTTCAGGAAATGGCCACACAGCATGGGTATAATAAGAACTTAATATATAACATTGCTCGTGCTTACACCCAGGCAAACACACGGGACAATACCAGTTCCCTTGGGGAGTCTTTGGATAATAAATGTGCAAGAAAAATCATAGCATACAACCACCATCTGGATAAAATATACAGGGAAATCTCATCCATCACCAAGACTAAGATAGCGTACAGTAGGCCTAGATCCGTTTACAACTTGCTTTGCAACAGAAAAGATGCAATTGACTTGAAACACGCACCGGGGTATATACCGTCCCTATGTGGGATGACAGATTTAACAACAGTTTGGTTTATGTGGGATCAACCAAATGCTCCCTTCACAAACGGCTTCGAGAGCATAAATACAATATTGACAATAAAAAACACACCACCGCCCTATCAACGGTTGCCACGGAACTGGGAATCACGGCTGACTTACAAAGTGCCCGTATGATCAGGATCTCTCATCATACGGATCAACTGAGAGCTATGGAGACTCTTGAAATATATAAAGCAGGTTTAAGCGGCACGTGCATTAATTACAGGGATGCAGTCGGGATATCAGGCGCGTGGAAGTTTTGTTGTGAGGGAAACCACCCCCGTAACTGATTTGTTGAATTTTCTATTTTGGTTGTGTTCGCTGTTTCGCAAATGAGTGGTTGCGCATGCGCAACGTTCCGTGTTTATTCTTAAGTTTGTTTTTCGAAATTTTGAATCGCTTAAAGTTCGTTTTTAATGTTCTGTTCCATACGCATTCGAATTCCTTATAAACATAGCCTGATGAAGACCCGGATGGGGTCGAAAACGTTCGCTGATGTATAAAGCAAGTATCACTGGAGTTACAAAGGTTTTTGTGAAAGTATATTTTCCTCTGGAGTTTAAGAAGAGTTTGGTTTCTTAAGGATTTAAAACAACACAAGAAAATGTTAAGAAAAGATTGAAAATGAGATTGAAATGAAAATAAATACACTTGAGGAGAAAAAGCTAAAACTACATTGATATAATAGTTCTTGTGTTTTGTGAATTGTAATTCATTTTTTATTTTCTAATTATCCGTATTTTGAAAAAAGAGAATTAATACTAAGAAGTTTCTCTGTATTTTGATTTTCCATTTTGTAAAAAAATAAAAAGATTTTACAATAAGTTAGATGCATTTGTTAGAGTTAATAGTATAGTATAAACTTACACCTATTTCTCTTTATATACAATCATTGATTTTTTACATAGGAAAAATGCTTTATTTAAAAAATTTTAAATTTAACTTTTTGTTAAAATTATGCTGCTGTTTAAAAAAAGTTACTCTTTTTGTTGAAAGGTTGGTTTTAAAATTGTGTTTCTAAGTCAAGAGTTCATCATTTTAAGCACAGTATAGTACTATTTGTTTATCAAAGAATACTGTTTGTTGATATTATGCTACCTCGTATTTACTAGATTTACATACAAATAATAATGATAAATGATGATAAAATAAAATGCTCATGTTTGTTTGTAAATTGCTTATTTTTTCATTACACTGAAGTTGTGGATTCTATCAAACATTTTTCTACAGGATGTATGTACTGTATTTTTTTAATGTGGCAGTCTTTGAAGCATATTAACTGTGCAAAAAGAGGGATAAATGTACTCATTGTTCACAGTAAATGCTGTTTTATTATGTCGACATTCCACACTAAGAAATGTGAAGGTCAGGGAATTTGAGTAGGAACCCTGTATATATATATATATACTGTAATAATGTGTGTGTGTGTATATATGTATGTATATATATATACACAAGCTCTACCTTACATACTGTAATAATGTGTGTGTGGATATATATATACACACACACACATTATTACAGTATGTAAGGTAGAGCATTGATTATCCAAATCAATTGGGAATTGGTGACTCGGGTTGTTCGGAAAATTGATTTTTCGGATAACCGATTATGTACGAAAAAATATATTAACTTATCCCATGTTGAAATTTGTTCAAATCCTTACACATCCTTAAGTTCCCTCTCATTTTAGCTGGCACCAGTGCTGCCAGCTAAAACATGCACACTAACAAAAATAATATTGGAGTAGCCTAAGACATAGCCAAAGATTGCAGCGCCACAGCACTAGCGGAAATTTAAATTTGCCAACTGGAAAGCTTTTGTTTAATTGATGTTTCGGTTGATTGATATTCGGATAATCAATGCTCTACTGTGTGTATATATATATACACAGTATATATATACTGTGGGTATATATATATATATACCCACTGCTAGTCTGATGAATCATGCCTGTGATCCAACAATTATATTAAGGTAGTAAATTAGTTTTTTTAATTAGTGTATGGAGCCTTAATACAATTAAAAACATTTAAAATTTTCTTTACAGCTTTCATAAAATACGCACATGCACATCAAACTTTATGGAAGAACTTAGATGCTAAAACTGACATCATTTTTTTCAAGATAGCATTTACATATTTTATATTGATGTCAAAAGCCAGTTCTCAGATACAATAACAAATTTCTTTTCTAAATATTCAAGAATTTAATAATCTAAGAATTACCTTATTTTATATATAATATATAATAAACATTGTTCTGTCTGTAACTTTTCTCATCTTGCAGCTGCATTGTTTATTAGAGAGTGTTTACTATTTCAAGGTGATTATTATTTTCATTCTTTGAATTGGGTGTAATTATTAATGGAATAAATTCAGTAACCGTTTTACTTTATTATTTTATTCAAACAACAGCACTTCACTCAATACACATACTTTATTTCAACATACAGTAAGAGTAAGAATGCTGAATAGAATGTGCAATTTCTCAGTGTAAATAAGCTTCATCTTCATCCAGTAGATAGCCCATTTACTCTTATAGATTGCTGTCTATAATTATTTTTTTTATTATAGCTATGCTGTTTATTAGAATGAATATTATATATATAAGTTTATCTACCACAAAATCTCAAAAATTATGAAACAGATGTAAAATATGTTATGTAGGGTTGCTTTTGATTAAAAAAATTATTGTTTTGTTTTTAAATATAAAATTTTATAATTAGTGTCAAATAATATAAAATCATAAACCTAAAGTAAGAAAATTCTAAATTTGTAAATTTTTTTAATCATAAATTTGTTATAAACTTTACAATGTAGACGGCAGCTCTTCTTCTCATACTCCTGGAAAAAATGGGTATTTTTTTGGCACGGACACAGCAACTCATGTTGAGAGGCATAGATCTTAAAGATCGCATGGCTAGTACTCATCTATCTGACAAAGTTTTAGAACAGGATTCTTCCCGTCCCGATACACCGTCCAGTGGCAGATCTCAATCCCCAGCATCCATTTCTGATTTTCGTCAGAGCCCCATCAGTCACCCCAAACCACCATCTCTGGAACTTTATGTTGGAGGATTAGTTTTACGTCACATTTTACAATTAGTTTGTAATGCTCATGCTATTACTGAACTTCAGACAACACCTTACATGACAGGAGGTGGATCGGTGGGAACTCAAAGGCAAGTTAGAATTGCAACTGCTATATACCCCACTGCTAGTCTGATGAATCATGCCTGTGATCCAACAATTATATCAAGGTAGTAAATTAGTTTTTTTAAATAGTGTATGGAGCCTTAATACAATTAAAAACATTTAAAATTTTCTTTACAGCTTTCATAAAAATACTTTAATTATTCGTGTTGTTAAAGATGTGCCAACAGGAGCTGAAATATTTAATTGTTATGGTTTGTATATCAATATTATAAATAAAACTAATGTTGTTTTAAATTTTATATAGAAATTTTCTAGAATATATGAAATTGTATAATGTTTTTAATGTAAGATTACATTCTATGATTATTTGACTTGCTTAAAATTTTAGTGGATAAAATATTTTAAAATTAACAACATTAAGATTTTAACTTCTGTAAAATTTTATGTAAATTTAATATTTATAATTTGAGGTCCTCACTTTCGGAGAATGGCTAGAGATGATCGCCAGAGAGCTCTGTTAGAACAATATTTCTTTTTATGCAAATGTGAAGCTTGTTGCAATGAAGATGAAAGAGAACAAAGATTTCAGGTGAGGCATCAGCTGTTTCTTATATATATATATTGTTTCTCATGACTTAAATTTTTAAGAAAATACTTTATAGCTTGTATTAGAATGTAACAATATTGCTATGGATGGATATATAAGTTATAAATTTATTTATTTGATTTTAATTAATTGAAATAGAAATTAAATCTCTAATTGATTTTAAATGTTATTTAAGTATTGATATTAAATATAATTAAATTTGTATATAGTCATACATGAAATATTATTGTACTCTGTTCTAAACTATTAAGTACTTAAAAGCTTTATTTAAATTAACAAACCAAAAAGTAAAATGTCAAAAAAACTTATATTATTAAGGTTAGGAATTGTTCCTTTAATTATTGATGTAAACAAATTGTTTACTTTAATTCTTTCTTGTTTGATAGTTTATTTGTTGTACATCAAGCATTCTTTCATTAAGTGCAACATGTAGACTAAATTTTTCTTCTATGGTCATTGAAAAATTATTGTAGAAAATTTATTGAAAATGTTGTTAATATTATGAAATTGTAATATTTTTCCACATAAATTTTGAAAAACAATGTAACTGTGTGCCAATATTATAAAATTTCTAATATAGTGATTGAGAATAATGAAACTTGTGAACTTTTAGTTTTGGATTGTTTTCAAAAATTAAGTGTTGTAAAAAACGTTTTATTTTATACCACCAAATAAGTTTATAGTGTGTTTTCCAAAAATAATAAATATTTATTGAAATATAAACTATAATTTTTTTTAATCAAAATCAACTAAATTTAAAATTTTTATTTATTTGATTAAACATTTTTCAAAACTTTTATCTTATTTTTAGATTATCATTAATATAATTTGAATAAAGAACAGTTATTAAATCATTTCAAACTATATATGAGAATGAGTACTTGACATTTTTTTGTCCATTGACTTCTAGGATATGGTTTTTTGTTGAGCTATAAAGTCTACATTATTAAGTCAAAATCACATTAATCTATTTGAAAATTCTAGGCTCCTTAAAACTTTAGTATTTAATTTATCTTGAGACTTCATTAATAATGTGTACAGTTTTTTTAACCACTTTGACCCCTTTCCCATTAATTGTATGTATAATAGTTTCCGATTCTCTGACATTGAAAAAAATAACTTTAAAAAGAACTGATATTAGTTTATTTACATGACTATTTACAAATTTATAAGAACAAATTTATATGCTACTAATACCATTAAAAAAGTCTATGTAGATGATGCCTCAACTTTCTTCCCATTGTGTACAGTGATTTACTTTTCAAATCCCCCTTTCCTTTAAGTTGTATGCATGATTAATGGATAACTCCTTGTTTATAACTAGAATGATCATTTTACTTAGGACTATTTGCACAAGTTATCATATAAACTACAGATTAACTGTAGAATAAATTTGATTTTGTCACTAATCTAAAAAATTAAGTTATGCTCATTGCACAGATTTATTTGACACATCAGTCAGCCAATTAGCCAAAAAATTCTTACTGCACAGCTGCATTACTGAGAGCAACAATAAATAAGATAAAGGAGCAAAAAATGAGTAAGCAAATGTGTTGGACAAATTGGACTACATATGAAAATATATATTAGATTTGGTGAATTCTATTTACAATATTTTAATATAAGTACTTTAAATTAAAATAATTAATAATTTCATATTATAAAGTAGTGATGGGATGATTAATTGGAAAAATTGGGCATTTTTCAAGAATGGAATTGAGCAAATCTTGTCACAATTTCTGATTCTTAAATTAATACCTTTTAGTATGCAGTATTTTTATTAAATCTTCTAATGCTTTTGGTCAGTTGATTGATTGAAAGTGGTCTTCAAGAAAGAATCAAAAGATTATTTGTTTCAGTTAAAGAATACAAATTTTTTTAAATTATGATATTAAGAATTAAGTATTCATTTATTGGAAGCTTCTATGTCAACAAAGCAGAGAGCACGAAAGGCCCCATACACAGGGTGATATCTGTTGCAGTGGACTTTTCTTTTACATAGTCAGAGGGATGAACAATTGACATCAGTTGGTAATGTCTCCATATTAGGAGAGATGATATAGAATGATATTAGGGTTGCTACCCAGCTTGTATTGAGTCAGCTTGACTGCCAATTTCAAATAGAGACCAACAGTTGACAAAAATATTAATATTTAAGTGTCAGCAAACAAATTTAAAATATAAACAAAATTATATTTTAATTGCAAAAAATATAAAATCATTTTTAATATTTAGTATGTTTACCTATAATGATAAACACTTGAACAACGCCTTAAACACTTTTTTCAGCAACATTTTAATTTCTTCAAATGAACGTTTTGTAGTACACAATAAAAGTATGCTTATTCACATATAAATGGAGAATTTTCAGGTTTCTTTCGAAAGGTTGATTCTGGATTTCCCAATCATTTTCCATTCTTAAGCTTGATGTTTATTAATTAATGTACCTTGCTCTTAATGTAAATCATTAATATTTCTAAATAAAAAAAAAACTTTAGAAACTGTTCAAAAGAATCTGAATGAGGAGAAATTTTGGTATTGTCCATTACTATTATAAAGTAAGATTTTAAACTCTGACAACATAAAACTGTAGCTTTTTAAATTGAAATAAATTCTCAAGACTTACAATCACTGTACAACATTTTAAGATGTGATCTTAAAGATATTTCATTAACATAAACTTCCTTTTAATGTAAATCATTAATATTTCTAAATAAAAAAAAAACTTTAGAAACTGTTCAAAAGAATCTGAATGAGAAGAAATTTTGGTATTGTCCATTACTATTATAAAGTAAGATTTTCAACTCTGACAACATAAAACTGTAGCTTTTTAAATTGAAATAAATTCTCAAGACTTACAATCACTGTACAACATTTTAAGATGTGATCTTAAAGATATTTCATTAACATAAACTTCCTTTAAATATTGTAAATAAAAATTATCTACATTAAAGTCAGTGCTGGTTGGCCATCTTGTTTCTTCACTAATTAAACAATAAATTTTAATTATCCAAAATTGACCAGTCAACTTAATTGTCAGTTTATCCCAAAGTGATTTAACCTTGAGATTAAAACTTGTGCAATTGGTCCGTATGAAATTGTTATTCATACTCTTAATGAAACAAGTTATGTTATCACTATATAAATGTATAATTTCAAAAAGAGATTATCTTTCTGTATGTCTCCAAATTTTTAATTTTGAGAAGATAAAGTTAAATAATAGTATTTTTTTAATTTTTATAAGGTAGTTTTTTATATTTGAAAGTGATATAAGAGAAGTTTGGAAGAAAAATTAAAATAGAATCAATTATTAAGAACAAAAAATAGCTATTTATAAAAGAATAACTTAATTTCTATTTCTACTTTAAAAGTTATTAATTTTAATCTTTCCATATATTTTATGATGCAGTTTATATATATAGTTGTTTTTGTAATAATTTAATTCTAATCAATCAAATTTCTATTAGGCATTAAAATGTAATTATTGCGATGGTCCACTCAGAGTTCCTGACGCAGCTAATAAAGCAGCTTGCTTAGATTGCAATAAAGAACAAGAATGCGCTGCACAATTACAGGTAAAAACATGTTCTTTTATAAGATATTATTTTGAGATTTACTCTTACAATAATTAAGAAGATTAATACTAATCCAAACTCTTGCCATAATTAATCAGGCTATTATTATGCTATAATTAATAATTAGAAACTAAGTAATTTGGTACTAGAGGTAGATGTTTGGTGCCATCTCTTATTTAAATTAATAATTATAATAATTTAATAATTTAGAACATTATGAAAGAAAAGAACTAGCCCATAACAGGTTAGTTCTTTCCTTAATTTAGATAAGAGATGGCTCCTAATATCTACCTCTATGTGAGGTTGAGACCTCACCCTTCAGATGGGAAACTGCTGTTGAACTAAAGCCAATAAACCAGTGACTTATTTTCATAAACAGGATCAGGTCTGCAAAGAAATGGAATGTGATACAATTAATTGTTGCATTCCAAGACCTAATTGACACATGCCCGATCATAGATTGTGTGGGTGAGTGGGATATCAGCTGCCAGGGAGATTTCAGTGGTCACCTTACAAAGAGTTCAAAGTGGAAAATGCGAATGCTCCTTTGGAGGGTGCAGCAGCTGGGACTGATTGAATTCAGCTGCATCTTCTCGGAGTCAGGAAAAACACATTTGGCCGAAATTTATGGGACTGTCACTTGGGGAAGAGCTTGGCCCTACCCAGAGGGGAACGATCTGAATTGGGGTGTTTGACAACCACGCAAACTGAATTACATCCCTAGCAACAGAACAGGGACCAATCAAGCCACAGAAGACCACTGTTTGGATTAACCAAAAAGTGGGATTTCAGGTGAAAATGATATAAAAGCCCCAAATTTCAAGGACATGGGGTAATGGAGATCAGGATAGTGTGTCCCTACAATATGGACCTGAGTGTTTACAAATGAGGTCCTGTGACAGAACATTGAGCTCACTTTGCCTAGACCAGGGGTTGGCAGGAGCAGTTTGCGAGCCTCATGCGGCTCTTTGCATAGACGTTTGCGGCTCTTCGGACATAAACTCCAATTTTACCTCATCTCAAGCAGCCTTATAGAGTTTGAGATAGAGCTGCTGAACAAACTTCGACTTATACGGCATACTCTCTAGCACTCTTTAGCCCGTCCGCACATGATCACACTCGCGTTGATCAATATGAGTCGCATGCGAGTGGTAGCATTTGAAGCATATATCTATATATATAACCCATTGAACATGTTCGTCCGTTCGTGTAACGTTATGCCAAAACTAGAGGCACCCCTGTTGTGTGTTGTATTTCACACATTTAAATTAACAATATAAATTATTATTTACATTAACAGTATAAATTATTATGATTCATCAGAGCCGCATATATGTACAGTAGAGCGTCATTTATCCGAAAGCATTTTAGTTGGCAATTTTAAATTTTTGCTAGTGCTGTGGCACTGCAATCTTTGGCTATGTCTTGGGCTACTCCAATATTTTTGTGTTTGTGTATTTATTTTAGCTGGCAGCACTGGCATTTTTATGTGGTGTTTTTCTGAGGACTCTGTAACCATGACTCTGTGTGTCATGGTTAATCAAAATCTATTTTCATCAGCGACATTAACTTTGGATCCGTGAATCTTTTACTTGTAACAGATCGCTCTGTACTTGTTGTAACGTTTGCAATGGCCAGTAAACATAAACGTGTTGTTCTCAGTGTTTCCGATAAACTTAAAATAATAGATCAGTTGAAGTAGTGTTCTAGTGGATCAAGCTTAGCTCAGAAATATGGAGTTGGAAATGCCACAATATCGGACATTAAAAAGAACAGTGATGCCATTAAAAAATTTGTGAGTGTATTTGACAGTGAAGACGGAAGTTTGCACAGAAAAATGATGAGAATGGCAGAAAACAAGGATTTGGACATTGCAGTTTACCGCGGTTCATGCAGGTACGTAGCCAAGGACAACCAATAAGTGGCCCTTTGATTTGCGAAAAACCTCTTGAAATGAACAAGAAACTAGGGGGTAACACTGATTTTAAAGCAACTTCCAGCTGGCTTAAGCATTTCAAATCTAGGCATGGAATTAGGGAATTGGACATCCAGGGTGAAAAACTGTTGGCTGATACCGAATCAACTGAAAGTTTGAAAGAGTCTTTTAAGAACATGATCGATAAGGAGGACTACAAAAAAACCAATGTCTACAATGCAGATGAAACTGGTTTGTATTGGAAAAAAATGCCAACAAAAACCCTAGTTTCTAAGAATGAAATGTCAGCACCTGGTTTTAAGGTAAGCAAATTACGCATCACTGTTATGGTATGTGGAAATGTTACCGGAACACACAGGCTATCTTTGCTAATCGTAGGAAAATCTAAAAATCCACAGTGCTTTAAAGGAATAAAAAAATTGCCAATGACCTACAAAAATCAAAAGAATTCATGGATGGATACAACCATTTTTATAGAATTGTATGACACTGTATTTACCCCTGAAGTCAAAGAGCATCAGATTAAAACTGGAAATTCTGGAAATGTTTTGTTGTTGATTGATAATGCCCAAAGTCATCCCTCAAACATTTCACTGGAAAGAGAAAATGGAAAGTTTAAAGTTGTTTACTTGCCTCCCAACATTACTTCAATCCTCCAACTGATGGACCAAGGGGTCATTGAAAGCTTCAAACAATATTACAGGAAGGTATTGCTGCGTATGGTAATAACCAGGGAAGAATGTGAAAAAACAATTCAGCAAGTGTACGCTGAAATTAACTTAAAGGATGCTATGTACATGGCAGCAGAAGCTTGGGCTACTGTCAAGGACAGTACACTAGCAGCAGCTTGGAATAAGCTCCTACCATCAGATGAGTCTATCACTGCACCTAAAGAGCCAACAAAGAGTCACTTTGAATCACAACTGTTTGACCTCATTAAAGATTGCTCTGGATTTGAAGAGTGTGATAAGGAAAACATTCAAGACTGGCTCAATTGTGATGTCAATGACCCTGACTATCAAATATTGTCGGACGATGAAATCATTCCAGTGTCATTGACGACCAAGACCCCTGCGATGATGAGGAAGAGCCTAACGACGCTGACCATGCTGAAAAAGGACCATCCAGTGAGGAAGCTTTTCATTCCCTTGAGACGGCTCTGAAATGGTTAGAACCGCAAGAAGAATGTGATGCTATCCAATTGTTGTCTTTAAGACGTGTGTGTGATTTAGCGGCAAAAAAGCGACTCTCGGCTGTGAAGCAAAAGACAATTTTGGACTTTTTTCTTAAACTGTAGGCCTACGTTATGTAAGGTATGTAACATGTTTCTGTATTCAAACGTTTTTAATATTAGATTAACTTCCAAAATATTATTTTTTTGTTTTTTATTTTTCAATATATTTTGTTTATACAAAATAAAAAATAATTTTTAACAATGCAATAGCCATGATTATTATTTTAAAAAGTTTACATTAGGCTTAACATCGACAAAAATTCAACGCGAAGCAACACACAACGGAGAAAAGTTTCAACATCAGATACGTTAAACTATTTTTTTGTACGTAATCTGTTATCCGAAAAATAAGTTATCCGAACAACCCCAGTCCCCAATTGATTCGGATAAACAATGCTCAACTGTAATATACATATGTATATTTCATATATGCAGCTCTCTGGTACTTTTGTTATCCTGTTTCCATGACAATTTGGCTCTTCTCACTTGACAAATTGCTGACTCCTAGCCTAGACCAATGAAACAGGAACTTAACTTCTCCATGTGCATGACTACATCCCTCCAGCCTCCTGAGGTACTGTACGTCAACAGCAACGATCACCCTTCTCCTGTTTTGGCCACAACAAGGATTGAAAGACAAACTCTCTCCTTTTGCTTCATTTTTTCTTTGTGAACATCAAAAGAGCGAAATTAAACACGTAATATGGAAGTGTCCTATATTTAATTTCTAAATGCTGGTGTGAAGTGAACTATGTTTTCATTCATAAAAGAGCAAAACTTTCCTCTGTCTTCGTGAGATTGTCAAAAATAAGACATCTGTAGAAATACTTATGTAAGCATGTTGTATACTTTAGTAGACATGATTAATTGTGTAAATTTGGTTTCTGTGTTATTCTCTGCATCCAGCAACTGCTACCCTCATACGTCCAAATGACTTCTTGCATCATCCTGACAGATCGCAGGAAAAAGTGAGGGTCACTGTGCCTTCCACCTAAGGCAGACCACAGTCGGGCAGCAATGCCTTAGGGTGCGACTATGCAGATGCGAATTTAGAGCGAGAGAGAGGTTGCGAGCGATTTAGTTTTCGCAAAGGAAAACCATGCACAAATGAGAAGCGAGAAATAACAATCGTGAGAGCGAATTTCTGGTTCTCGCACATATCTGACAGGTTTTGATATTTATCGCGTCTCGCCTCTTCTCACCACATATTCTCGCTCTCTCAGAAAATTTGCTCGCTTGTGTCTGCATAATCACACCCTTACTGTTTCTTACAGTGGTGTCAGTTTCTTACATCTAGTACCAAATTATTTAGTTTCTAATTATTAATTGTAGCAAAATATTAGTCTGATTAATTACAGTGAGAGTTTGGATTAGTATGAATACATCGGGCTTTGGGATCTTGATATGTGTACATTAAGAAAATTAATTAGTTTTATAATTGTGTTTATTATAATTAATCAGTGTGCTCCCCAGGAGTGCCCATCTGTTGCATTGCTCAATCCAATTCAATCTGTACACATGCTGAACAAGCTGCAGCTTAGATCCTCATATTTTTACATATACCATTATTTGGGGAGTGGTAGGCCTAATATATGTTATAGTAGAGAAAAAAGGCTCAAGTGCTTTTTAGTATTAATTAATTACAATCACAAATCTAATAATGATTAATTAATATACAAAAGGGTAAGAATTTTTTTTTATGTGAATCCTATGCCATTAAAGCATTTTTTTATTATTTAAAACTATATTTGCTATATTTTTGGAGTATTAATTTTGTTTTTTATCATAAAATTTATATTCACACTCTGGATTAGTTTTGTGACAATGCTC